CAAAAGAGGAGTAAAATTCTTCAGCCAGAAAGCTACAAAAGAGTTTCTTACAGTTTGATCAACAAAGGTCTGGAATAGCAATGTTATCAATGCTTTATTTTGGTGGTCTTTAGAAAACTGTGTTCAAAACATACACATTTTGTTAGCCTATTCAAACCCTCTCAGGGTCAAAGAGTTCTGTCAACCTTACAGAATATACATGTAAATCTCAAAAATCTACTTTATCTGTTCTGAATGATGACTCAGAAGAGAACAAAGAAGTAAAATTTTGATGTGTGGTGATTAGAAGAGGGTTGCTTTTTTAATTTTTCCAATTTAATAGCAGATTCAAAGAGCCCCTCTAACCACCAGATTAAGCCATAAACATAAACCACTGGTGTTCCAAAGATTTGTTTCCATTTTGAAATACTTACAACACATACTGAAGAGCAAATAAGAAAGTGACTTACAGCAGTTGATAGTCGGGATGCCAACGTCATTTCTAAATTTCCTTTGAGACCAAGAAGTGCAGGAACCAAGATAAAAACTTCAGTAACATTCTTGAACACATCCCAGTGCTATATAAAGGATACAGTAGGAAACACTCAATTGAAAAGTTCTCTTTAAACCATCCACAAAGCACTCAAAAAATTCAGTAACTCATAACAATCCTCTAAAAAACAAAACAAAACAAAAAATCAACCTTTTTATATCAGATCTCAAAGTCTAAAGCCAGAACTGTTATCTGTCTAGATAAAATAGATTTATGACTGCATATTACTTCAAAGATGAGAATACCAGAAGTAAGAGATACAAAACTTGGCCTTAAAACAAACCTAGTGTAAAAAAAAGATGTCATTAATCTGAAGTCTATTTTCATGACTTTAATATAGTATCAGGTACTACAACTGCTTTTGAATTCTGCTCTTAATTTACAGTAATATTTTAATCTTTCCCTTCCAGCTGTGTATAAACCTCACATAAAACCAGCAAGGAATTAGTTGCCAATTGAACAGAGCCTGTAAGTGAAAAAAGCTTATCTTTATTCTATTACTCCTACGTGTTAAACTTAGAAGAGTACACTTTTCCAAAACCCAGATTTTAAAAAGCAAACTCACTCTCCTGTAATTTTTTGTGCGCTGATTTCTCAGCCCTGAAATGCTGTGCTACTTTGTATGTCTGTCAATCCATGCATTTAATTTGTAATCATTTACCAAATTTAACTAAACTAACAAAACTGTAATTAACTATATGTGACGTTACATATGTATGTACTATTGAGAAAGAATAGCCATGAAATGGTTTGTAAAAAACAAGCTTAGAATGATTTGTTGTCTTCAAATTTTCATTTACAAAAAAATGGTCTGTCACATTTCAAAATTCTGGTTTACTGACATCACAGCCTAATTTCTCAGATTAATTTATCTCCTAACACAGATTAATTTCTTCACCGTCTTTCAGTTTGAATATTGTGGTTATTTAATATTTTAAAATATTTTTTTGTGAATTTACTCATACAGGAAGAGAGAATCTATGAGGTTTGTATTCATAAGAAATTTCTGGTTTTTGAAAAACAAATTAAGTAGGAAATAAAAGTAAATACAGCCTTCAAAATGCAAAGAGAAGGCAAGAAAATAAGGTAGTTCAATAAACCTTTCTTAACTGTTATCGTCTCCAAAATTTTTTTCAAGTATCACTGCACAAAGAATTATTTCATAGGCAACTGTTACTTTTAGCTCCACTGAAATGTTGCTGACATCCACAACTGTGTTAAACTAGAAAACAGATCTAAAAATGTTTTGTATAAGTGGGGTCTTAGTGATATAATACTCCAAAACAGGTTTTAAATATATTATTAAACTTCCATCTTAAAATTGAGAGAAAATCCTATTATCTCAGCCCTGAATAACTATCAATTAAATCTGCTACCACAAAACAAGACAATCTGGTTCCTCTGGACCTACTACAATTATATTTCAAGGCGGACATGACTTTGCAGCCCTGTTCACACCACCAATGTCTTTAATTCCACGTGTTCAGTATACTTAACGTTATATAAAAAGACAGTTATGAATGTAATACGCATTTTCATATACTGTATGATTTATCATGGACCATGTCTACACAGTACTTCAGAAATTGCATAGACTTAAAGCACACAAGGAGATGAGATAATGAAATACATTCTTCTAATCTTTTTAAACTCCTATGCATTGTGGCATCACAGTTAATTACAACTCCCACTTGACTATGTATACATTTACTACTGTCAACAGAATTTTGAACCATTACTATATTTCTATGCTTAGTTAAAGCAGAAGGTAACAGTTTTATTCACCAGCTCACTGTGGCTAAGCGACACTTAACCAAGACATGAATGACTCCAAATGAAATATTGGAACAGTTTAAGATGAGGTTTGGGGAAAAGCAGTTGATAGAAACAGAACCATACACAGACCTAATTACTCAGTATCATAATCATCTACTCTATCACTCATTAGAATTATAAATCTCACAGACTAACTGTTAAATAAAAAAACCTTCCAAAGCAAATACCAACCTGTACAATATCCAAAACCATGCCAGCAGAAACAGTTCCAAATCCTGCTAGCAGAAAAGGTACAAGTATTTGTAATGCCATAATACTACTAGATTCTTTGGGTTGTTTTCTACTTCCTTCCACAATGATATCTTCATTACTGTCACTAGATAGGTTGTCTTCCTGCAACATGGCATCTGTTTCTGAAGTGTCCATTCCATCGCAGTAATTATAACTGGTAAAATCATCATATTTAGGGCTACAGCTAGATGGGCTGTGTCCACTACTACCATGAAAACTTGGTTCTGAGAAGTGATGGTACTCTGTGTGTTGTTCAGACCTAACATTAAAACTGTGTCCTGCTGGTTGTAATCCATCTTGCCAGACACCATTCACTTTTTTGTGTCTTTCATCCTGATTTATTTGGTAGACGACAGGAACCATACTCAAAAGCAGTCTCAAAAATTTATCAGACTGAATTGTATTAAGATTAATGGTCCAGTTTACAAAACCTTCTCTGTCATGAACTTTGCTATTTGTTTTGGAGATGGTAGATCTGCCTTTACAGTTAGTCATAGTGCTACAGAAGTACAGGTTGAAAAGCACTTGGTTCTTCAGATGTCAGTGAATCTTGTAGATCAGTCATTAAGTGCCACACTTGATTTTAAAACAGATAAACCAAAATGATCCTTTTTTGCATGCAAAAATGTTTTTTCGTTAATCTCAGATCTTCAACAATTCCATAAGGAAGACTGGATCTGCAAAAAAGTAGAAAGTATATATTCAAGCTTTAAAATATTTTAACTCTACAGAAGACATGAGATAGTGCTTTAAATTATCAGATCACCCTGTATCTTTCCAAAGCAAGTATTTGCAGAAATGTCAATCTCCTCTAACATTTAACTGCCAAAGTTGAAAGAAATTTGAACGTAAAAAGGGAAAGCTGGTGGGTGAGGAAATTTCACGAACTGGTAAACTTTCCAATGAAAGAAAGAGGCAGCAGTGTGGGCTAAGTGAATTGATGAGGGCCTAGCTTGTGCCTCCTTGAAGCCCAGGCAGATACTGTGTGTAGCCCTAGATTTCCAGTGGCCGTGAAAGCAGTAGGTCCCCAGAGAAAAGTATTTCTGTGTGGTGCAAGGGTATGGACAAATGGAACCCATAGGATGCACTGCGGGGCCACTGTTGTTCCTCCCGCCCTATGCTAATGGCAAGGGCCTACAAAAAATAAGGAACACCCCCCCAACTTTCAAAAAAATTGATCAGAGGTGATAAGCCCAAAACAATATTCTGGGTGGCAAAGGCCTTATGTGTTGACAGTCCCTGCCCTCCATACCCATAAAAAGATGACAAACCAATATTGATATGTATAATTGAAAAGCATGCTAATTTAAAATCACAGTAACTGATCTTTCTCTGAAGAAAACATATAAATTAATGTTAAATATAAAGAGCTACTATATACTTAATAAAACCAGACATTTTTTCATAAAATACTACAATATCAAGGAAAGAAGATAGTAATTAAATTCAGACCAATTATTCTAAAATAATCTAAGTTACGCTAGTATAAAAATAAACCTACAGTACCGTATTCATAAATATGGCAGATTAAAATTTAATTAAAACTAGAAAAAAGGTTATGTTAGGATAATTAAAATCAGGTATTAAAAGCTTTATTTTATTTTTGCATGAGGTGCAAGGTTGCAGATATTTCCTGAAAGACAGGTTATTCTGATGTCTAGTAACCCCTAAAATATAATTGTTTGATCAATATTTACACTAGATGTGGTCAGCATGTTTTGCTTTCTGCAAATCATGCAAATACATTTTTTTATGTTTAATGTTATTTAATGTGCATTTGTTTCTACTTTTAAATTTCCATCATAGTAGAAAATTAAAGAACGATATATTGGCAGTCTGAAGTCATTTGACGCTTCCTCCATCAGAAGCCACTTTACCTTCCTCTTCTTCAATTTTCATGTTGTGATAATAGTTAAAGTAATTTATTAAAAGAACAGTCTTAATTTGACTTGAAGCTTTGTTGACTTTGGTATTTATTACTAGACTCCATGAATACAAGTAAATGATTGGGATAAACAAAGAAACAAAGGTCAGGCAGACACCACCAGCATGATGTGGGCTAACAATTCCACAAGCTCAAGGCACTATATTGTTGCAAACCTGTGAAAACATATTTTTACAGACTGCAAGAAATAAAAATAGTTGAGGGTTGGAGGATTTTAAAATCTATGCTTCCTAAGAAAATCGGGCTCTTAAGATCGTATCATTTATGTTACCTATACTTCCCTCCATCCATTTTAATGTTTTTAAGTCATCCAATATTTCTGGAGCAATTACAGATTTGACAGAGATAAGAGATGTCAAAGCTTTTAGTAACTAACAGCCTTGTAAGAGATCCAAATTTGTGCCCTTGCTCTAAGGCATCCTTAAACATTAGCTAGGATAATTCATTCATATGGCCACAGCAAGTCAACTTCAAAAGTCCTGCTGCTCACAGAACTACTTGTTTGGTGAGATGACTCACATGCAACTTGAAAGTTTTTCCCTCTACCCATCGCTTTACCCAAGGGAGCTCTGACCAGGAAATGAATATTTTAAAAATTACAATGGAGTTCATCACTTGATTTAGAAAGAAGTCACGTTTTGCAAGAAAAAAGGAATCTTTTTTCCACAAGACAAACAGAGGAATTTAAGTAACCAAGATTCCAGTAATATCTTGTCCCACTCTGTAGCAGATTGCGCCATGCTGAACCTTTTAGCATAAGTGCATAAAAACTCCTAGGCCTCAGTTCTGGTTTCCACACACTTTAATTAGAAATAACAAAACAACTTTTGCTGCTGAGGAGCCCTAACCACACGCCAAAATGGTGCTCTGTTAAGTGCTGCAGAAAGACAAAACGAAAGGAGGCAATTTTGTTTCTTCCTGGCCCAAAGGTGGCTTTATCCATGTAAAAAAAAAAAAGAAAAGAAATGGTGCATAAAAAAAGACAATCAGAATCAGATTAAACTATCAACCTAACTATTATCAACTTATCTGACAACAGCAAAGAGCTTTATAGAAGGATTTAAAGGAATATAAGAGAAGTTTATGGAAGTTAAGGAAAATTAACATTTCAAGAAGGGTAGATCCTAGGGTGCTGAAGGTTGCCAACCGATTTATGGTGATGGGAAGCAGCACACTACTTAGGAAGCTTGCAGAGGAAAAAGCTCTGGATCACTTTAGCCATTTGAGTTTCAGCTGGCCACAAGAAACATCTAGACTAGAGAAACTATGACAGAATTCAAGAGTGGGATGTAGAATTAAGATGTAAAAGTGTCCATGATGAAAGACATGTACTGAGACCCACAACCACCCCACTGGGCTTTTTTGGAGGTCGTAGTTTTTTTTTTTTGAGGAGAGGGGAGGAGTAACAAATGAAGGATTTTATTTCACTCATGGGGAAATAAACTGAGAAAATTTTCCAATAGCTTTAACAAGGCAGAGTCTAGCTCTCATTGTGGGTTCTCCAATATGTCCTCCAGTCACTTCACCAGAGTGCTAGATCAGTGACTCAACAAAATTACTCACTGGTCTGGAACTCTGACAAAAAATATTTGGGTTAATTATCCATATCTTTCTAACATATGGATTTTTCTCCTTTTATCATCTTCCTCTTTTTTTAAGAAACAAATATTTTGAGAAGATTGTGGTTTCATTTAATATTGAGAAAGTGTTAAAAAATAGAAATGGCACTTATAAGAAAAAAAGAGAGGAACAGAAAAATTATTTGGTCAACTAGCAAGTTACAAAGGGAAGTAGAGGCTGACATGGACAGCTAACAGTTGAAATAGTACAAAGCAGTTTGGACGACAGTCATTTATGGTCTTCCTACCAAAAAGACTTGGAATGACAAAAAGCAAGCTAATGATAAATGCTGAAAAATGGGAATTTAAGAAAGAAAACTGAAAAATATACTATACAGTGAAAAGTAATTACTTCCTCAGAGCATACAAAGAGGAGATAACTATGAAGCCTTCTGAATGTAACTATTCATTTCTAGAAAACCTGTTCCAACAAAGATAATTTTCCAAATGTCAACTGATGCAGTAATTTTATCCTGAGTTACTGGATGCTAATAATGCTGTACTTGTGGGAGGGTTATACCTACAAAATGCAGAAACCATCTAAGGAACACTATGATCTCAGGGACAAGAACTTCTTAAGAAGATTTATTATTGACAAGAACAATGCCAATTTTATTGTGCTGTCTAGAAAAGGTATGACCAGCTAAAGAAGCAAGCTCTACTCAAGTAACTCCTATGAAGAAAAGGAGGTAAAAATTTCAAAAATCCCACCCCCAGTTTCTGTAGGAAAAGGAGATCAGTGAATCTGGTTTCTTGCCATATAATCAGGTTACAGAGAAAGATGAAGTACTTAAAAAAAAAAAGGAAAAGAGAGGGACAAAGATGCTTTGAGAAGCCAGGAAGCAGCCTCAAATTTATCATACCTGACATGTTATATATGAAATGAAAGGACACCTTGTCTTTGTCCTTACAAGCAGAATAATGAGGTATGCCCAGACTATAAATAAAATAATTTCCATTTCTTTACTGTTTCCTAAGTACCTACTTTTCATAGTTTCTTCTTTCCTTTATACATTTTGTACCACATAATGATTACTGTGTATTATTCAACTCTGTCAGTCCCGCAAACATACACAGACATACAAAAATAGGAAATACAGCCATACCCTGCTGTTTGCTGAGGACGTGTTCCTGAAAAGAGAGACACTTAGCAATCCAACTGATAAAAAACCAGTTTTACCCATAAGAATTAATGCAATTGATGCATACAGCAGTTTAAAAAATACACAAAGAGATGGTATATACAATGTGGAAAATGGACTGGCAGAAGCAGGTGCTGTGGAAAATAGACAGGACCATGAGCTGAAAGAGATGCTGACTTTTGGAAATGGATAGCTGCTTTAGAAAAATCTCAGATACCTCAGCTATGAAACTGAACACCTGATCATTATCACATTTTTCCATCCTTCACCTTTGATTGGCTTCATCGGCCTTGATTCATCGGAGAAAGATGAATTGACAAAGAAAATGAAACTGTTCAGGAAGAAGCAGCAAGAACGCTCTTCATTATTACCCCCAAAATTTACCAACAATGTTTCAGAAACACCCATGATTCAGTTCTGAAAAGCATAGGAAAGGGATGTTGCTTCTATACTTTCCCAGGGTTTAAAGAACATACAGCACTAGCAGGATTAAGGGACCAGATTCTACAGCTAAATTTGATCATATAGTGATTAGAGTTCTGGTAATTTATTTAAAGCATGAAAACAATTAGTAATTAAATCACCATGCTCTTTTAAGAACCTTCAAAACAAGGGGGAGGATGGTGAATCAAGGAGTATGAAACTTTTGTAGAGTCAACATTATAACAGGCTAAACTAAATATTTATCAAAATGTAGGCCTAGGAAAATTAATTTTCTTCCAGAATTTGGCTAACAAAACCAAAAGACAACATCTATCTAAATAATACTGAGGGCTCTCAGAGGATCCAAAGCTAATCACACCACAGTCAAACCCCATTTTTCCTAAAAGCTGCAAACATTTTTTTTTTTTACACGTAATCTTTTAAAGCAATAATAATTCTCTACATTGCACTTCTAGGTAGTCCACAATAAAATACAATAGCTTAAACATGCCTGACTGAGAAACACCTCTCAGTACAAGAACAAG